GTGAAAAATTATCAAAAATTATATGGACATCTATTGAAGAGCCGGAAGATTCTTTAATTTATTGAATTTTCATGTTCGTATGTTCTCAAGGTAAATTAATTATTAAGTGATCACCAAGTAAAATTGAGATTAAATCTCCAGTATTTTTAGAATGTGTTCAAGGTGATATATGTGGATCAATTCATCCGCCATGTGGACAATTTAAATATTTTATGATTTTAATAAATGCATCTACAAGATGGTCACATATATGTTTATTATCTACTCGAAACCTAACATTTTCAAGATTGCTAGCAAATTTGATTTTGAGCATAATTTTTAGATTATGCCATTAAAACAAGTCACCTTGATAATGTTGATGAATTTATTTCTCAAGCATTAAATTATTATTGATTGGCTAATAGAATAAAGGTTGAACATCTCTTTGCTCATGTTCATACTCGAAAGGTTTAGCAAAATTATTTATCAAAAGGGTCCAATTAATAGTTAAACTCGTTATTTAAAAATAAAACTTCTTGTTTATGTTGGATTTGAATCCTCTTCGATCTCTTCATTCATAAACAAGAGGTATTTTTATAGCTCGATTTATCGATCGTCATTTTGATGAAACAGCTTTTTCCAACATTAGGGGGATAGAATAAGCAAAATGAGTAGTTGGAAATGTTAAAAAAAAATTACATGGAGTACTCTATTTTTATATCATATTGAATCTCGTACAAAACAATATGAACTAGAAGTTAAAAAGATAATTCGAGTTACAAGGTATTACATACCAACTGCTAGATGCATTTTCAAATCCTAAATGAGTAACTAAAATACATGTCCCTGTTGAGAATGCTTCTATTAGAATTGATATCCCAAAAGGATAGTCTATTAATATTATAGCTAATGAATCTAAAGCACGCCCGAAGCATGGAAGACTAATCAATTCTAAGATAAAAATCTCTAAAAGAAAAATGACAAGGTGAAAATATTTACAAAACGGTCTAAGATATTTTTGATAATATGCTTCCAGGAGAAGTTTAAATGCTTGAGAAAAATTAAGAGGATTTGGTATCATATTGAATCTTATACAAAACACCGTGAACTAGAAATTCAAAAGATAATTTGGTTACAAGGTATTATAAACTAACTACTAGATGCATTTTCGGATCCTAAATTAGTAACTAAAATGCATGTCACCGTCGAGAATGCTTCTATTAGAATTGATGTCCCGGAAGAATATTCTATTAATGTTATAGCTAATAAATTTAAAGCACGCTTGAAGCATGGAAGACTCGATCAATTTTAAAGATAAAAATCTCTAAAAAAAAGAGCAAGATAAAAATATTTACAAAATGATCTAAGATATTTTTGATAACATGCTTCTAGAAGAAGTTTAAATGCTTGAGAAACATTAAGAGACTTTGATAAATTATGTCAATACAAGGAGAAAATAAGGACCGAAAAGAAATATTTTATATATATAATGTTTCAATTGATATTTTGAATGAAAAAGAGGACCCTAAGCTAAAATCTATTGAAGAATGTCGACATAAAGATGATTGGCCTAAATGAAAAGAGCAATCCAAATAGAATTATGTTCTCTTACAAAAGAGTAGTTTTTTGAACCCATAGCTAAAATACCTAAAGATGTTAAACTAGTAGGATACAAATGTGTATTTATGCAAAAACAAAATAAGAAAGATGAGATCGTAAGATACAAAGCAAAACTTTTAACATAAGAGTTTTTGTAAAGAACTCGAAATTTACTATGAGAAGACATATTCTCTTATAATGGATACAATTATATTTTGTTATCTCATTAGCTCGGCAAAATATATGAAAAGCATTCATATGCATGCATTTAATAAATGTAATCACAATTTATTTGTTCATTTGAAATGATATCGGTATGAAAGTCCTAGAAGGACTTAACATGCCGAAGCATGTAATACATATTCTTGAAAAAAGAATTCAATTAAATTATAGAGATCTCTATTAGGATTATTAATATTTGTTTTATTATTTTATTTTTTAGAAATTCAATTTATATTATACTTTTTTATATTTTATTTTTGTATCTAATGTTTATTACTAATCCGTGTGCATGTGATATAATCATTTTAATAATTATTTATTGAAAGAAATTATAAAAAAAATAACCCTATTTGTTCATATATTTTTATTTAAAAAGGGTTTGTTGTGGATCACTTAAATATCATTGGAACTCTTGAAAAGATTCCAAGTGTCATAAGTTATCTAAAAAAAAAGAATTTGATGTGAATACCTTGGGAAAAAAATATTATCTCGATCCGTAGCTCGAGCACTCGGAGAATGAGACTTTTATTCATCGGGCAATTTATATAGAAAAAAGTTCTATAATGATTATTTATAAAGATCATTCATTGACTAGCCTAATGGTAGTTCATTCACTTGATATCCAAAAAGATCATTTTCGACCTCGAGAAGATAATAAATAACTACTTAGTCCCGAAGTATCGTATCTTAGTGCCACTAGTGCATTGATATATCTTGCTAATAATATTCGACAAGATATAATTATGCTCCAATACGAAGACATTGGAATGGAATTAAACATATACTATGTTATCTTCGAGGAATAATTGATATGGGTTTATATTATTCTAATAAATCAAAGATAAGATTAATTGGTTATGCGATACGGAGTTATTTATCCGATCCACACAAAGCTCGATCACGACTTGGTTATATATTTACATATGGAGATACAGCTATATATTGGTATTCTATAAAGCAAACTATAGCTGCAGACATCTTCAAATCATGCGGAAATATCAATTCATGAGGCAAGTCGAGAATGTGTTTGGCTAAGATCAACGATCTATCATATCCGAGAGACATGCGGTTTATCTATCGATAAAAAAGTTCCAACAATATCATATGAGGATAATGCCGCTTGTATAATTTTATTGAAGGAAGAATACATCAAAGTGATAATCGAGCATATTTATTCGCTAAAGCATTACCTACCATAACTTTTTAGGAGATGATTCATAAGATTGAAATACATCGTCTTAGAGATCTCAAATGATGTTTTCAACAATGGGAGGCCAACATTAAGATTAATATATACAATAAATATTATACTCTTTTTCCTTCACCGGGATTTTTTCCTCATTGGGTTTTTTTTCTAGTAAGGTTTTAACAAGGCATGTTTCTCATACAATGGACATTCAAGGGGAGTGTTGTGAAACAATAAATGTCCATCATCATGTTCATCTACTTTTCATATCCCCACTACTCATGATTCTTAATATGATTCAATTCATCATTCAATATGAGAAATTAAAATGGTGATGCAATTGATTATTCATAGTCTCTTCCAATTCTTTTCTCAAATTTGAAGCCTATAAATATGCTTGATTATTCATTAGTTGGTATACAAGCATTTTGTAGAGATTGTGAGAGTTGCTTAGAGTTATTATCTCTTATATTCTCTCTATAGTGAAATAATTTCTTCATCATTTTTCTATTCAATTCTCCTATTATTTTTATTTCTTTTATAACATGTTATTAACATGAAACTCTAACCAATTGAAACAATAGATCACGAGGTATGTATCTACCAAAAGACTTAATCAATTGTTTCAATCATTGGATTTCTTCTATACAAGTGCTCTACTAATTGGATCTAAATTATTATTTAGATCATTACGAGATATGTCTCTAATTTATCATGTACTTTAAATTTAATGATACATAGATATACATTTGAAAAATGTTAATAATTTAATATATAAAATCTAATAATATAATATATATTATTTGAAAAGTTCAAATTTTATTATTATGTTTGTTTTTATTTAAATTTTATTATTAAATTTTATCTTTATTTCCTAACATTATTATTATACTTTGCAATATATAATTTTAATTATATCATATCAACCATCACAAAACTTGATTTTGTGGCCCTTGACATTTTGGGCAAGAATTATTGATCATGAGTGATTGATATTAAGTTAATATCATTTACTTTTCATGTCTCGAATATGCTCATGTAGTAGCATATCAAGAAAAGGAGTTTAAGAAATATTTTGAATCAATTTCATACTTGTTCATGGTAGTTAAATAAAATGACAAGCTATTGATGAAAAAAATATATAAATCTCGACCAATTGGATATACTCGATTCCCGAAGTGAATGTAACAATTTACAATAATTTTAGGCATGGAAGAACATCGGGATATCTTGCTAGTTGTAATTACAATGTATATGTGACACAAATCTATATATCACAGTTCACAGCATTAGACTCAAATTTTATTTTTTTTATTTTTTTTATTTTTGTCTTAAAAAAAAAAAAACCAAAACAAAACAAATTGTTAATTTTTTTATTTACAAGTGAGTTGGACCAGAGCCTCACAATTTGGAAAGGAGTAACAAAAAGTTATAGACAGTAAAAATAGAAAAAATTGATGGTATTTAAAGAATAACCCAAAATGATCGGCAGCCGATGGTACAGAATCTTACTCCAGAATTAACAAATTATGAATTGAGTGAAAAAATCTAGAGTTTGTGTTTGATGCGGACAGACCTCAGCTCCACAACTTTTTTGTTTCCCCGAACAGTACCCACTAGAAATGTCATCTTGGTTTTGCTGCCTTCGCAAGCAAACTAGTTGCTGCAACCGTGTTATACATATAGATAGATAGATAGATAGATTGAGAGAACGAGAGAGAGATCTCCATTGATATTAATCTTCACCTTTCGAAGTAATTAGATGATGTACAACTAGCAAAAATAGCAAGTGGATGCCCTCCACCTTTTGCTGACAAAGATAAGGTACTAGTTTGCAACTAAAATTGCACTCAACACCTAACTTCAGTTCTCTCCACCAGGCTAGCTAGCTACCAAACATATATAAACCCTCCCTAGCTAGCTCTTTGCAAATCAAACACTCGTAGAAACAAATAAAACATCGAATTATAACACACTCTTATAATATATATTATACATATTTTATTGCCCAAAAATGCAACAATATATCTTATTATTCTCGCTTCTCCTCCTCCATAGTTGCAGTACCAAAACAGTTTGCCAATCACCAGCTCAGTCACCAATAGCGACACCGACAAAGGCACCAGTGCCGCCGCCGCCCCCAGCTGGCCCTACAGACACCATCAAAATCCTCTTAAAAGCTGGCCGCTTCTTATCCTTTGTCCGCCTGATGAAAGCTACCAATGTGGATACCCAGTTATTTTCCCAGCTTAACAGCTCAACCGATGGCATAACCATCTTTGCACCAAATGATAGTGCATTTTCAAGCCAAGTTGCCGGTGCTGTAGGCTCCCTAAACGACAGAGAAAAACTCGAGTTTGTGCAATTTCACATACTACCGAGATATCGTTCAATTTCCGATTTCCAGACTGTAAGTAACCCTGTAAAAACACTGGCAGGATCAGATAGTAAGTTCCCACTTACCATAACCACCAGTGATAATTCAGTAAAAATAAGTTCAGGGCTAACCAAAACAGGCATATCAAATACTATATACACAGACAAACAGGTTGCTATTTATGAGGTCAATAAGGTGCTAGTTCCTAAAGATCTTTTTCCACCGGCGCCTCCAGCTCCAGCTCCTGCAAAGCCTGTTGCAGATTCTCCTGTTGCTCCCAAGGATGCTTCTGATGCAGTAATCATTGTTTTGCATCATAATGCTGTGCTCTTCGAGGTTGGCATATATATAGCTGCTCTAGCGTTTACCTTATTGTGACCCAACATAATTAATAATATTGGCGTGTGAGAGCGAGACACTGCTGATCAGTTGCATTAATTAAGGTATATCTGCCGGTGATGATAATCAGCATGGAATGACAGCTTTCTGATTCGAGTTTGTCATTAAGATTTTAAGATTGAATTTCGTGTCTCCTCTTATATATATATATATATATATATATATACAATTCAGTCCCACTGAACTACTTTAGTATCATGAACACTAGACAACTATAGTATTGATTTTTCACAAATACAACCATGTGATTTCAATTTAAACAATTAAATGCTTGATTTCGTCCTCTTTCTTTTTTCTATTCTTATTTATTTTTTCTGGTAAATTTTTTGTTTACACTGCTTAATTTATTTTACTTTATCTTCTTTTAAAAACACCAAAATAATTTTAAATCAATACATCACCTTATCCTTCACTGAATATTACTAGATCATATTTTGATTTACAATACCCACGTGTTCACTACGATATTACTTAATCAGTTGGTTTAGAGAGCTTTTGTATTTCAGAAAAAAGGAAAATTGTCTAGATATTTTAAAATAATGAAATAGCTAGAGTAAATAAAAACAGTAAATTTCAATTTTTCTCTTAAAGATTTAAGGGTAATGGCTCAATTTGTTCTTATATACTGAGATGAGCTGTCCTTATATCCTAAAATAAACTAATTATATTTCTTTATTTTAAATAAATTTTCAATATGTCTTTCTAATAATTTTTTCAGTCTAACTACTAGAAAAAAGTCAAGTTACTCACCCGTGACTAAATTTTTTTCTAAAAATGCTCCCAAGATAAATGTGTGCAAGTCACATGTGTTTTTTTAAGGAGCATTTTTTTTAAAAAAATAATAATAATAATAGCATATGCAAGTCTAGTGACTTTTTTAAATCGTTTGACCAGAAAAAATTACAAAATTACATATGAATATAATTGATCCATTTTAAAATATAAAAACATATTAAACCCCACTATATAAGGACAGACCGGGTCATTTCTCTTAATGTTTATATATGTTGTTTCAATTTTATTTAAAACTTTTTTGCTGTTTTAATCAGAACTTACATCTTTCATTTATGTTTCGATTTCTCCTTCCATCCATTTTTGTCACGAATAGTAGTACAACAAAATGTGTAAATTTCAATTTCGTTCAAAAAATTTATGAAACATCTCAATATAATACAAAAACTAAAAAAAAAATTGAAATTCAAAAAATAAACATAAAAAAGACATTTTTTAAGTAAAACAATCTAATCCTAATAAAAACATATTTTAAAATAAAATCTTGTTAAAATTTTTCAAAATTAAGTTAACAAATATTAATATGTTCAAATAATGAAAATGAGCTATACGTCAAATTCACATATCATATATTAAATAATAAATACAATTTAGAGGTTTTTTTTTTGTCACATGTATTTTTGAAGAGATGAAAAATTAAAAAAAAAAATCTCTCCTCATCCTAATGTTTTCTAAAATTTATTTCCAATACTTTTTCATACCAAAAAAAGTAATTATGGAATATTTATTATTAATAATAATTTGTATTAGTTGTGTGTGTGTGTATATACACACACACACTATTTTATTAAATTAAATTAAAAAAATATTCAAATAAAAATTCTTTGTAATTTTATAATTTTTCATTAAAATATTTTATTTTATTAATTTTCCAAGCCATATTAATTTCTTTTCTTTTTCTTTTTAGCCAAATAAATTCAATAAATTTGCTAATCAATTTTTTTAAATACTTTCAAGATATCTTCATCTAAAAATTTTCTTTGCCTAATCCAAGCATTTTAACCTTGAATTATCTAATAACAATTCAAGTTCATTCAACTAAAAACAATTAATTTTGATTATTTTTTTTAATTCTTGTCAACTTTTTTTTTATAAAATTTTATATATATATTCACAATAAATCTAAGTGGAATCTAGTTTTTATCATTTGTCAATTAAAGATTGTTGCGTATCGCTTAAAGACTGTTGTGTATCAATAGAATTCGATTATGTCGGTATTTTTCAATCTCAAATGACTAAGAGAATTCAAATTCAAATAGAGAAAAGATATCAAACGTTGGGCACTCAAATAGAAAAAAAAAAAAATAGGCACTTAAATTGTGATTTTTTTTTAATAATCGAAATAATACCTTCTTTTTGCCACATATCGGTTGAAAATGATTACGTGACATTTTTTTCGGACATATCAATATTTTCAATCCAAGGTGATTCCGTACACTTAAACAAGAAAAAAATCCAAAGCTTCAACGACTCAAATTGAATCAAATAGAGAGAAGAAAAGCACATGCTTATGTTGATTCAATAAAAGTTGATTCAATAGCATCCTACCCGAGCAAACTAAGAAAATCTAAATAGAAACTATGATGCTCGAACCACACAAGAACAAAGTTATGGAGAAGGTTCTCGAGAACCGATCGAAGACTAGTCCGTAGGCCAGCCAAGATGTAGAGAGCTAGTGTTGTGACTTATAGCAGTGATAGTCAACCAATCAAAACAAAAAGAATGCAAATAGTGAGAGGTATGGGAGGAGAAATAGGCAATGCTAGCAAGGCACAAGTTGTGTGGTCGACAGTCGAGCGGTTAAGATCCAAATAGGAGGAGAAGGTTCTCGAGAACCGATCGGAAGATTAGTCCGCAAGTCGATCAAGATGTAGAGAGCTAGTGTTGTGACTTATAGCAGTTGATGGTCAACCAATCAAAACAGAAAGAATGCAAATAGTAAGAGGTATGGGAGGAGAAATAAGCAATACTAGTAAGGCACAAGTCATGTGGCCGACAACTAGGCGATTAAGATCCAAATAGGTGGAGCTTTGGTTGTTGTCCGGTGTGTGAGTGAGAGAGCTTTAAGATAAAGAGTTCGAATGTTTCTTCGTTAAAAATTGAAAGTTTTGAGCCAAAATTTTTCGATGCAAAAGTTTTTTATCCTCTCATAATGATGCAAGGTCGTGCAGTTATAATGGAAAAGGATGATCTTTAACCATTAGGATCATACCACATCATTCAAGTTTTAGTGGTAGGTTAACCTTGAAAAATTTAGGTTTTTTGAGCTTAACTCGCTTCAACTTACTAGCAAAGACTAAAGAAAGTAAAAATTGAGCATTCCTTTACTAGACCTTGCTCCGGGTCCACTAAGTCAATCTTCCTAATGCATCCAAAAAACAAGGCATTAACATTGTCCCTACCCAAACGCTCGTGTCCATCCTTACAACTCATGATTTGATGCTAAGTGAGGCCCATTCTTAATCCAATTCATTTGTGGAGTAGTTTGAGCCCATGTTAATAATAATAATAAAAGATAACATGAATTAGCATATAATAACAAAATTAGCAAAGTTATTTAATTAATGTTTTATAGACAAGTTGAACCTATGGATTTAACGCTCTACACGACATGACTTTGCAAGCAAGGATGTTTGTGCAATCATGTATAGAAAATAGAGCAAAAATAATATATATATATATATATATATAAAGCTTAGAAACATAACTAAAAATTATTATGGTGGACTTGCCACAAGTATTTTAATGTTTAGGGATGGATTTTAACATTGACTATCACTTTTTATGGGTTTTTTTTTTTTTTTTTTTTGTCACCACCAAATCTTTTATACAATATTTTTTGAATTTTCAAACTTAAAAAGGGGATTTATTAAGGGTATTATGGAATTTTTTGCTTATTTAACTATCCATATTAAAAAAAAAAAAAACATATATATATATACATATATATATATATATATATATATATATATATATATATATATAGACACACACACATATAAAATGTGAACTTCATAATTTTTTGTATTCGGGGAGAAATTAACAACTCAAATCTCTACATCAAAATTTCCGAAAACATTACAATGGCTTTGATTTCCATAACATACAAAGTAATAAGAGCTAAATTTTTATAATTTTTTTTTGTAGTGCGTTGTTCATCGTACGCAAACCAGCGATTGTTAGTGCACGGACATGCCGTCGGTCTATGCTAGTAGTTACACACACACACACACGAGTATACGCACGCATCATTTTTTTTATGGTAGGCATTGCTCGCCAATGCACTTCTTGGTAGGCAATGCTTGCCGGCACCCTTCTTGGTAGAGAGTGCTCGCCAACACCCTTCGTGGAAGGCGGTGCGGGCATCTTTGTTAAAACAAAAAACCTTTTTAAAAAATAAATACGCACGCATGTGTGTGTGTGTGCGCGCGCACCAACATAATTTAATTTTTTTAATAAAATTATTATTCGCACAAATACATTAATAATTTAGTCTTAACACTTTATTTTTATTTCGACTAGACACTCCAATTTAGACTTGTAACTCAATATTTTTTAGAGCGATCAATAATATATTTTTTTATTTTTTAACAAATAGTAGTATGAACTATATTTAGTGGCGAGCGATTACTGTCGGACCTTTCGGTGGTAGGCCATTGGCCATCATTTTTCTATGATTGGATTTAACACAAAAAATAATTAATTATAAGTAGAGAACTTACTTAATATATTGTATAAATAAAGAACTTATTTGGTAGATAGATAGTCTCTAAGTGTCATGTCGGGTTCACTCACTCGGTACTTTTTTGACAACTAGATAATCCTAAAATGTCATGCCGGATACACTCACCTGCTACTTCTCCGTTAAAAAATTAGCTAAATATATTGACTTTTTTCATTTAAAATTTGACAAGAAGGTAGCTCTCAAGTAAGGAGACTCGTCAATATAAAATTTATTCTTGAGAACAATAATGATTTGATCATATAGGATTCTAAAAAAAAATGATAATGAATATATGGATCAATCTTAAAAAATTTTAAATCTTGAACGTCATTATTTTAAGAAAATACTTGGAGAGATAACTTGAGAACTCGTAGCTCCTTTCTAAGTTTTCGTTCCATCAATTGAAGGAGAGAAAACTTATCTTGAGCACTCAACTAGCAATGATGCGATTTTTTTTTGAAAA